TTCCCCGCCCCTCGCGCCAGGGATGTTTTGTCGACGTTAATATATTGGCATGGAGGCAGGAGCCTTTCCGGGCGCACGCACTTGATGGAAGAGGAGCATGCTCTCGCTGACCACGAATTGTTCCGCGCCCAGGCACACTTTTTATTTAAAGCTGACGATCAAAGACTCCACGCACCATCCCTGCGCGCACATCATTGAACAAGACCTTTCCAATCTGCCCTATTCCAAAACCCATGATTGCAATCAGCGACCTTGCAATCAAACAAACCCTTCTCCCCCGGGTAAACCTGAATCATGGCTGTCCCCATTCTTCGCCAAGTCGAATCGCACGCACTTGGAGACGTGGGACAAACCACTACGCCGAGTGACACCATCAGATTTCCTGTGTCGACGGTTCCCAATTCTATAACTCTGCAGCCTTCCGCAACGTCTTCTCTTCTAATATCCATAATGGCCCAAACGTCCTCTTGACAATCCCCTCGCCGGGAATTCCATAAGAGAAGTTTCCTGTCTCGTTGATGGCCAAAGAATTGCTGGAATAAGGGGACGTCGTCATCCCAAATCCCCTTGCTCGTCAAATCTCTCAAAGCACCCCTGTCCGCTCTGGTAAATTTGTTTCCGAGAATATGATCCTCCAAGTCCAACCAATCGTCGCTAATTCTCACTTCCTGCAAATTCCCGTCCGTCAAACATCCCAAGTCCCTTCCCCGCACCCGATAGCCTCGTTTCTCCGGACGATAAACGACGCATCGCCCAAAATGGCCGCCAACTACCGTCCCGCACACAGTACGAAAATTTACCCCACCCCGTAAACGGTCTTCTCCCACATGTGGCATCATCGTGCCGGCACTTGGATGCGGTGCCCCCCACATCCACAAACGATCTTCACGGGCTTTGGCGGTGACGGACGTCTCCAGGGCATAAAGCATTTCTGCTAATACCTTGTCCGGAGGGTGTTGGTAGGAAATGGTGATTTTGGAGGCTAGCCATGGAATCAGACCAAGAAGGCCGAAGATGCGGTCATGAGGGCGGGAGCAAGACCGTTGGTATGTTTGCTGAATGAGGTCGCGCACCGCCCGTGTTTCATCAATGTTCTTGATGGTAGAAGGGTCTTTGAATGCGTCCGTAACCCTCCCGCCGGCGTCGCCCTTCTTATCCCACCACCCTGGACCGATATTCATGTTCCACCAATTCATGCATTCTTGGTACCCATTGTCCGAGCAACCCACAAACTCGCTCAAGCTACTATCTGCCTCATCCGAAAAACGACGAACATGGCGTCTGCACTTGCGAATGAATTTGTGCAAATCGAAGGTAGCACCTTTGGCATCGGTGAATATTAAACTCTCGGCAAGAAGGCCCTCCTGCAGCGTCCACAGACGTGATGTCCACTCGCAGGTCTTCAACGCCTCAGCAACATACGAGAAGAGGTCCAGAAAAGCGCCTGCAGCATCTTCTCCATCCACAGATAATTTCGGCCACTCAGTGGATATGTACGATTCGAGTTTGGTCGCCGTGTCGTCGTCACAGAAGACTACCACTCGTTTCGCGCGAGAATAGATTTTAGACATGATGGTAAGTTGCGGGGAGGCAGCTGTTTCGTCGTCTTGATTGACAGACAATACGTCCAACCAAATGCGAGTTGAGGGACCGCAGAGGCGGGTGACGGCGTCTATGATGCAGGAGGTTTTGCCTGGGAATCTTACAGGGACCTTCCAGGGAGCGTTGGCGACTTCCTTGTCATTGTGGTCCTTGGTGTCGCCCCAAACGTGAGACACGGCAATATACTCGGGCGGGTCGTCGGGCGGGACGTGCTTATATTCATCAGCGCTGGGAGAATACAAACGGACAAGGGTCGAAGCGGTCATGGCGCCAGGAGTGCTGACGCGGCCAGTTGGTCGGGGAATTGGAGATGAACAGTCCGAGGAAAGGGCATTGCCTTTATCACACAAAGGAAAGTCCTATACGTGGCACCACATTAAGACAAACGAGACGACCTGTGGGGACGGTTGGAATAATGGAAACGGAATGGGAGAAACGAAATGGCAACGGCGATCAAACTTCGGTTTGCATCTGGAAAGGGAGTTTTGGTTTGTGGAAACGTGCTTTTCTGCTTTCATTAAAGGCGTCTCAGTTAGTATAGTGGTCAGTATCTCCGCCTGTCAACGTTCCGTTGAGCAGTCCGCGGAAGACCCGGGTTCGATTCCCGGACTGAGAGCTACAAATCCTAGTGGATATTTCTCTCGCCATCGTTCCTTTTTTGTTTCCGTCGTCTAGTCACTTCTTTTGTGGTCTCCATTTTTCCCCGCCCTCCGCGCTTTGACATTTGACATACCTCCCCGCAAGTGATTTGTTTGGTACTTTCGCATAGTAAGAAGCCGTTATGAAGCCACGGGTCCCAATTTTGGGAGGAATTTGAGCAAGCCGATATCGTTTAAATATACTCGGTAGTATTAAGAAATGGAATCGTAACATTACGTTTCGTAGGCGGGAACCCGAGGATGAGCCTCAAGGTTTCAAGCTGAACCCAAAAACAGATACTTGACGTACATCGGCCAGTCTTTGCGTGGCTCCCGACACCGTTTGGAACGGTGTCTGGATCTTTACGCCGGCGGACTTCCTGGCACACACCATGTTGATTGCTCAAACCAAATCCTGGGAACAGGGCGTTTTCCACATCACGAGCAAAGAAACATATAGTGGGGTCATTCCCTCGGACCGCGGAAACGGCAGTCTACCATATGTCCCCTGACGAACCTGTATTTGCAGCATTACAATGGAGGATCGGCGGCTAAACAAAAGGTTGGACCCCAAGTTAAACGCGTCGATATGGAAACGTACAGAAGGGACTTTAAGAAGCGGTTGGGCGATATGGACAATGATAATCCGCTGCTCCCGCTTGCAGATGTAAGTTTTTGTTTTCCCTTTCGATTTCCACCATACATTCTGAATACGACCACCCTTAAACTTTGGACAACCAGGTCATTCTCCATCACATTAGCCTTTTGTCCAAACCCGCGGATTTGGACGACGACCAAAAACCTGCCAAAGTGCGTCTACATTCGCCCATTTGAATGGTCCCGAGGAGCATACGCCAAACGAAGTCATCCCGGTTCACAACTGATGCGACGGAAATGCTACTTAGCGTCTAGCATCACAATGCAGGGCACACAAGCACAATCATTGAAAGCATATGACGTCCAACTTAATTCCTGTCTTCGAACTTCCAGTGACCAGCCCGGTTCTCATGACACTAACCGGAACGCTGCGAGCTCTGGCGCGGCGACACAGCATTTCCGCAACGTATTTCGTTTGCGTGCAACCCATAAAGTGTTGGTTGGCCAGTTGTTCGATGTCAAAGTCTTCTTTGATATGAGCGCCGGATTTCGTGACGCCGGTGAAAATGATGGAGGAGGATATGAATTGAATGAGCTTGAGGCAGGTCGTGGTTGCAAGACGGAGTGACTCCACCACTGAGAGTATGTTTGGCTTCAGGAGCTGCCGGTACGCTCCAGTCCAGTCCACCTGAATGTTCATAGGGACCAGTTAGCGCTCGCAAGCCTAATAATTTTCGAACATTGGCCAGCCACTTCCGGATGCCGCGCAATGGATGATAACCTGCGCAGTCCCCGCTACACGTTCCCAATCCGCGTCGCTCATGCCCAGGTTCTTCTCCACAATATCGCCTAAGACAACCGAAGTGCGAGGATTGGTTGAAGAAGACATCCACGATTTGGTCCAGACGCCCCACTGTTTGCACATCAACTTCAGGCGGTCAAGGCCGTTCTTGTCGGCGTTGCTTGCCCGAGAAGCCCGAACGAGACAAATGACACGCGATAATGGGAACTTGTGAGAAGCTCCTGCAGGACAGAGCTGCCGATGAATCCTGTCGCTCCCCGGAGGAAGAAAACAACTTGTGAAAATCGAATCAAACGCAAATGGGTAGTTTGTTTAACCCTTGTCTGTACGGCAACACAGAATCGACAGCTCAAGACAAGGAATAGAAAGAATTCTACTGTATAATGTCCAGTTCATGGGCCGACCAGGTTGGAACGGACCACACAGGCGGCTGCCCGCCCCAAAAAAAGGCGAAGGCTCCGCTCGTGGACCGAGACAAACGCAAATGGGTATGCACTTGTCTCTGCTGGGGGTGGTAGGCATAATTTGTACAAGAGCAAGCAAGATGCGCTCAAGACAAAGAATAACGGGGCACAAAATAAGTGCTTGGGATTGGTGTGCGGGTGAGGTTGGTCGTGATCGCCAAACTTGCGGAAAACCGGCAAGCACGAGGATTCTAAGACGGAGCCATGCGGGCGGACTGTTTGGAATCCAAAAGTAGGTCCTGTTTTCTTGCCAGTGCAGTAGAGTGGAGAGTTCAACAATCCTTGCGTGCAGGGTTGAGACAATCGGGCCTTACACGGAATTAATCGGACGGACAAGGGTGGGGTGACATGAAATAAGCACCGGCAAGCATGAGTTCGCAATTGCAATAGATGTGTGGTGCAAAAAAGATCGGGCAGAGTCAGATCCGGCTGCCTATCCTCCAGACTTCTTCGACCTCCTTTTTTTGCCGCTTTTTCGCGAGGGTGTTGAAGAGTGGGTATCGGTCCCAAACGCGGAACGTATACTACATACTGGATACGATTGTTTCAGGGAGGACAATGCAACTTGCAACCGTAAAAGCCAAACCTGCTGTCGACCATCAAACTGTACCACAAACATCACCGCCCCTGAGAATGATGATGATTTGTGCCGCGCGACACTCCAAAACCACGCGCGCAATGAGAGACTTGTCAGGACCATCCTCTTTTTTCCAATTTGAACAGACTTAATGCCAGACCAAGTCAGAACCGTCCGGGCAAAAAAACATTATACTGTGCCAACCAAATACGGTGTGGGCAGTGGCAGTCATCGAGTCCAACACCAATCAATCAAACGACGATGTCATAGGCAAACAAAGATCATGGGCGAAAATGTTAAATCCGTCCGGTATAAAAAGATTGTGCTGGGCAGACCAAAATACGGTACGGGGCAGCCATCGAGTCCAAATCGAACGACGGTGTCATAGGCGTCTGAAATATATGTTTTTCATCCCCTCACTTGTTGTACCTAAGCCTGCTTTGGGATTTGCGCACCCTCACATTGGGTGCATTTTCCACAATTTCTTTGTGGACCAAAGGAAAAGCGGAACGCAGTACAAGCACATCCAAAGTGTGTGCCGCTCTGCATGCGCAGCAACGGGATACGCCAAAAACTTGGACCCCTGATGTCGACCAAACCTGGTGTTTCCACCTTTTTGTTCAGCGGGCCGAGGCTGCGCAATCAAGAACCCCCACTACTTAGCCTGACGACAAAAAAAGCGCTCCCAAAAAACAGCGCAAGGTGTGACCTATCTACCGGCCCGGACCAGCTGCGCTTTTGGATACCTACACCTGGATGGTGCCACAGTTTTAAAAACCCAGTCATTGTAATGGCGTTCCATTCCCCCCGTTTCGATGGATTAACCTATGCGCAGCTCAAACCCAAGAAGAGACGAATGCATTTTTGCCGCCATGTGCGGTTGCGCGTTTTGCAGTCTCTGTGAAGCACAACGGCCCGCCATTTCACAAAGAGGACGGGATGGGAGTTGGCATACATAAAAGAATGCTTGTATTCGTCGGCGTACTGGGAAGACGTATGGATGATGGGTCAGGTCAATAAACCTTTCTCCGAGACGTGTACTATAGTATCTAGGCTTCATTCTCTCGAAGTTGTTTGATGCAATGTATTTTCATTTGCCATCGGGCTATACAACGGGTTTCGGGCAGGCAGAACTGCTACAACGCAAATCAGATAAACCAAGGAATACCGCACAGAGAACTGCTACAACGTAAATCAGAGAAACCAACGAATCCGCGGGGAGGACTGCTACAAATGCAAATCCGAAATTCAACGTATGCGAGGTTCATGGGAAAACCACGTATCTGCAGAAAACGTACAAACAGTACATCAACAACGGGCCACGGCATCTGAAATAGTAAAAAAACAAGGGACAATGAATCCTACACACCATCTTAGCTCTGCAACCGCATTTCCCCAAGTTGGGAGATCAATTCCTCGGTATCATCCGCACCCTGCGCTGTGCAGGGGACGTCGGATTGAGCGGGCTCACTGCACCTGATACAGACAATTGCGTTTGGCTTGCCAGCCGGAACATTGGGCAACGAAGGGGGTGGAGAAACGGATGTTGCATTCAACTTAATTCGTGAAACATGATAAATGAGTGGTCGACCGGTGACGTTGTTAAAAACTAACGTGAGAGACACACATTTGTTCTTTTCCTAAATACCAAGGTTGCGTGGTATCGCCGAATCTTGTAATGAATATCGATCCAACCGGTTGAATGGTAGTACCCGAAGTTCAGCAATTTTCTGGCAAAATCTACGTCAATCCCTAGGAACCTGTAGTGGTTGGCTTTGGCATGCTTGAGAAGCTTCCGAAATTCGTATCGGAAGAAGTAATCTTGGTGGAGGGTGATGCCAATGAAGACATGGTGCCCGGCTTCCTGCACACGGGCTGCCGAAGTCAGGAAGTAGCGACAAAGGACTCCGGGACCACTGTAGCCGCCCCACCAAGGGCATTGGAAATATAAATTGCAGAAATGGTCGTCGACGAACGCCGCGTCCGTTTCGTCCAGACGCCACCAGAGGTTTTCCAGATGGGTGGCGTCAACGTCACATAAGCCGTAAATTGTACCACGACGTTGAAGTTTCCTCAAAGCAGACAACTTAGCGGAAACCTCGGTCCACAGTTTGTCTGTAAATAACTTGGCGTTGAGGCGTCATCCAAAAGCGAGGAAAACGTAGCAAATGCTCACCACGGGGCGTGGGGGTGTTTCCTTTGGGCTTCTGTTCTTTTCCGTTGGGTAGAAAAATACGCATTTGAATTCCTTTGCGCTTTATGTTGTCCTCGGCAGACTTTTGAAGCACTGGCCAAATCTGTTTCCCGTTCATTTGATACTCGGAACATTCTCCATACACTGTGGACAAGATGCCCTCCCAACCACCTCGAAGCGCTGCCAGAGCAGCGGTACATGTAAAGTTCTCCTCGCCGCGTAAGAGAACCTTGGGGGGAGTTGCATTCGGAGGACATAAAAGTGTCCTTACGTCTTCTCCAACAGTATTGCCATTTTGGTCGGTGGCAGCACGCAGCCTTTTGTACCCTCGGCCGCGGTCAGTT